TTTAACTACTAGCTATCTTACAAAATCACGTGTGAGAGAAATGACGTAGCAACTTCTGTACCCACACTAGCAGCAGCTTCAGGGTAGAGGTGGGCGCCCGGAAGAGAGCCGCCCTGTGTGCCCAGCTTGGCAGCTGCAGGTGCTGGGCAACTATTTCATCTCCTCAGCCCTGACAGGGTGGCTCTGGGTGTGGCATCCCTGGGGCCATGGTTGTCTCCTCCTGGAAGCTTCTTTCCAGCTTCCCATGATGAGAGAGACTCTGCTAGCAACTGGGACCCAGAACTGTGCCACTGTGTTCTAGGAGGAAAGGCAGGGCCCTGGAGCACGGGGCCACCCACCTGCACCAGGAACAGTCTTTCACATCGAACCGCAGGAGGTCATTGAGCATGGTCTTCCTGAAAGGCAGTTGGAAGAGAGGGTGGCATTAGCCAGGTCTGCTCTGCAGGACCCCCAGAGATGGGTACTGCATGTAGCCAGGGTAGAGGAGGGGGCTGTTTTGGGCTGGGTCACTAACACAGCCAGGCAACCAGCTGAGGCCCAAGAGTGGTGACCACAAAGGAGGCTCCCCAACTGACACGGGCACCAGGGCTGCCACACAGGCAGCCACCAGCCTGCCTGGGGTCAGGACCAAAGCATGAATGTGGCCACCAGGAGCCCAACCAGCAAGCACGAAATGGCCCAAAGGCCAGAGTCACCCTCACACCTCACCCTAGCCTCCAGAACCCCTATTCACACATCCCGATCCCCTTCTTCCGAGGCTGTACCCCACAATGCAAGCACTTGCCCATGCTTCAGGGGAGGCCCTTTACTTCTCTCTGATCTTCCTGCCACTGCTTTAAAAAAAAAAAATAGAGTCAATGCGCTGGGCTCAGTGGCTCGTGCCTGTAATCCCAGCACTTTGGGAGGCCAAGGCGGGTGGATCACTTGAGGTCAGGAGTTCGAGACCAACCTGGCCAACATGGTGAAACCCCATCTCTACTAAAAATACAAAAAATTAGCCTGGTGTGGTGGCGGGCGCCTGTAATCCCAGCTACTGGGGAGGCTGTGGCAGACTCGCTTGAACCCGCGAGTCGGAGCTTGCAGTGAGCCAAGATGGCGCCACTGCACTCCAGCCTGGGCAATAGAGCAAGACTCTGTCTCAAAATAAAAAATAGAAACGAAGTCTTGCTTTCCTGCCTAGGCTCGTCTTGAATGCCTGGCCTCACGCGATCTTCCTACCTCAGCCTCCCAAAGTGCTGGGATTACAGGTGTGAGCTACCACACCTGGCCCCTGCCATTTCTTTATTGCAAAAGCCAATGTAATAATCATGTTAAAGATACAATTAAATAGAAAACAAATTCACTGGTCATTGGACCACCTAATACAACCAGCTGGCATATTACTACCCAGCCCTTGGGAAGAAGGGCAAACTGACAGGAGCTCAGCGCCCCTCACGCCCAGCCTGTGCTGGGTGCCTCCTGCACCATCTTAGTCTGCACCAGTGGGTGCATCTGTGAAATGGATGTGTATCTCACATCCATTTCACAGATGGCGACAAAGCCTAGTGGTTCAAAGGCTGTGTCTGAGGCTATGCAGCCAGGAAGCCAGGAGCCTAGAAGCTGGTGGTGACTGTGATATCGCCCCTCCCTCCCTCACTTGCCCCACGTGCTGCAGGAGGCCATCTTTCTTTGTACTCAGTCTTTATAAAGTTAAGACTAGAGTGAGACAAATTTGTATCCTATTTCTTTGTCACACTGCAGCAAAAATGTTTCTGCTTATTGCTACACAGTTGTCACACAAACTCCCTGTTAGGGACACTCTTGAGGATGAAGGTCCCCCATTTCCCACCTGCTGCCTTGTACTGGACACCAAAGCCTTTTCTGGTTTGGAGGGTTCTCATTAAGGCTCCAGTAAACGCCTGTGGGTAGGCATCTCTTCTTTATTTCATTCCTTCATTTGACAAACATTTATTGAGTTTTCTTTTACAATGGTAAAAGGAGCACAGGCCCTGCCTTGACTGAACAGATGGATAATAACCAACATCTGTGTGCCTCAGGAACAAATGAAGATGGTAAGAGGGATGGAGGGGAAGTAATGGTCTCCAGTTGGTCCAGATGACCAAGGAAGGCCTTAGTCACAAGAAGCATCAGAGGAGGGGCAGGAAGGTAGGAGGAGAGAATGGGCAGTGCAAGGGCCTGAGCAAGGGGGCACTTGGTACAATCCAAACATAGAAAGGCAGCCGGTGCAGCCCCAGTGCAGTGAGAGACTCAGGGCAGAGGAGCAGCAGACTCTCATGAAGACTTAGGCTTTTACTTAGAGAGGCAGGGAGGCATCACAGGAGGATGAGCCAAGGAGGAACACACTCTGACATGCATATGTAAATGGGCCCCACTGGCTACTCCTGGGGAAAGAGAGTGGGAAGAAGGCAGGCTTGAAGCCAGGGGACCATGCCCAAGGAGGCTCTTTTGCCCAGTCTGCGGATCCTGGTGGGGTTCAGACTACCCCACCATCCTCAAGCCAGTCCCCCAGGGAGGCCTGCAGGACCAAGGCTGCAGAGCCAATAAGAAGCCAGCTCTTCCAGGGCTTCATGCCAGGTCCTGGGGCTGAGAGGCAGGAATAGGACAACTGGTCATGTGCAAATACTCCACCCTCTGCATAAGGAAACCAGCCACAACTTAACTGGAGACAGTTTATGTGAAAGGAGGTGTGCCCACCAACAAAACATCATGCTGTTGCCTGAATGTTTGCAGCAATGTGGGAAAACCCTCACAAAAAGTGAAAAATGCATGAAATAAATAAAACTGTGTCCTCCATACTGGATGAGGCCCAGGGAAAGAGAATTGCCTGGCAGGGCTGGCCGCAAGGGTGGTTGTGTTTCTTTCAAGGCTGCGTCTGCTCAGAAGAGGGACATTTCCACATACTGAGCATGTGCCAGCCACTGGAAGCTGTGCTGAGGATCATGAGTGCAGGATCTCATTTAATCCTCGCCACGACCAGGGAGGTGAGTGCAAGGAATCTCACAGATGGGGAAACTGAAGCTTAGAGGCACTAGCTAACATCTGAAAGGACAGTAATGGAGCTGGGCAGGCCCAGTCCCTGACCACAGTACTTCTTCCTACCTGGTCCAAACACTGATGCTCAGACTCACTCACCCATTGTCTCCACCAAATACATAAATGGCATCTTTATAGGCCACCACTGTGTGCTTGCTGCGCCTGGAAAGAAAGGAGTGGAGGGCGGTAAGGACAGGACCCTCCTGGGAGGCATCCAAGGAATGGGACTAAGCAGGAGAGCTGCCACAGAAGTTAGATGTCACCTCTCAACTGCTAAGATCGATCATCTTCTAAGATAACACCAATCACCCTGCAAGTGAGGACCCCTGACACGGCTCCAGGACTTTCTGGACTCCTCACCCCACCTCAGAGCACCTGGGACCCCAGCCCAATATCCACAAACACAACTTAGTTCTAGTATTCTGTCCCAGGTCATCAGGCTCTGGGACTCCCTCGGAACCCTCTCTCCCCTGCCCTGAACAACGTCCTGTCCAGCACCATCCACCTCATTACCAGATCCTACCCCAGGACACCACGCACCGGCCTCGCCCCTGGACCCCGCCCTGGGACTCTCGCAGATCGCCCTTCCTGTCCTCAGGACCCCATGAAGCCCACCGTACCGGGCACCCACGAACTCGTCGCAGGGCGGGAGGCGCCGCCAGCGATGCACTGTTTCGAAGGGCCCGAAGTTGAGGGTCAGGTACTCGACACTGTCCGAGCAGCTGTGATCGAAGTCCACGCTCGGGGCTACCTTGGACCGCGCGCCGCCTGCCAGGGCTCCGGGCCCAATCTGGCCCCCGGTGCTGCCCGGTCCAGCCATCACGGGTCCACGCCGGATCGGCCGCGCTGTCCGCAGAACTTGCGGCCACCGCCCCGGGCCGCCCGGAGGAACCACATTTCCCGGCGAGCCCTGCGCTGACAGCTCGGCACTTCCGACCAGCGCCGCGCTTGCGCCCTTCCGCTCTTCCCGACAAGCCTAGCGCTTGCCAAGACACCGCGGGCGAGCGCTGGATCCAGTTGGGGACGGCGCAGCGAGCGTGGGACTCTCTGGGGATGGAGCAGCGAGCGTGGGACTCTCTGGGGAGCGTTTCAGGCTATGTACTGGCGCCGGGTTGTCCCTTCCAGTGAATGCAGTGTCTCGTCCCTAACCCCGTCGCTTCTGCTCTTCCTGGCGCCTCCCAGGCCCACGCAGCCCGAAGACCCGCGACAGGCTCGCAGTTCCCGGCATGCCCTGTGTCTGCGCGTGGCTCCGGCCTGGGTCGTCTGCCGCTGCCGGGACTCCACAAGGAGGGTTGCGGGCTCGCAGCGGCCTCTGCAGGCGCTCAATGCCCCCTTTCCTGCTAGCGCCTCCAGCCCTGACTCCCTGCATCTCCCCTCTCTCCTTGGCGTTCTTACTGACTGAGAGGCAGCCCGGCGATGAGCCTCTAGATTCTCATTTCTACTTAGCAGGGCCTCAGCTGCGTCACCTCCGACATTGGGATTGAGAATGCTCCAACTATGAAAAGCATGGGGTCTGTCTCAGGACACAACTCCCACAACCCTAAGTGGACAAATGCCCCAAAGTGTCAAGCATGAGCCACCTCTGAAGGAACATTTACTATCTTAAGACCTTTGGGCTTGTCCCTTCTACCTGGAATACCCTTCCTTCAAAATTCAGAGCCAAAAGCAAAAAGCGTTCGCTGATCGCAGACAGGGAGAGGAATGTGGGAGGGCATGGGGCGCAGAATTAGTTGCTACCTCCTTTGGGAGTTCACAGGCCAAATTTCCTTGGTGTGGCACCTAGCATTCTGTGATTGTGCCTGTTTCCCTATAGTCTGGCCCTGTGCCTATCGGCCCAATTACACTGGGAGTCATACAGGTCTGCAAGTTTGTGCGTTTTAATTTTACGGCAATGTCTACATGTTGCAGGGTTCTTCAAGGGCCCAGTCCCAATAGAGGGAGAAGAGGCAGGGCCTGTCCTGCCTCCAGTGCCAGCTGTCAGTGGCAGTAGAGGCCTTGAGGGTTGAGCATCTTCTGAATCCAGCAGAGGCCTCCCAGGAGGGGAGCCAGGTGGCTGAAGGCAAGCACTGGGAGGGCTCAGGTTCTGCCCTGGGGGATCCTGGGACTGGAGATTGGCACTTGCCCCCAAGGCTTGGCCTCTGCCCCTGGTGCCCCCCTTTGCCTGCCCAAGTCTACTGCATGTGAGCTCAGGATCCTTTCCCTGTAAGCCAAGACATGTCGCCAGTCCTGCAGGAATGAGGGGAGGAGGGGTCAGGACAGAAGACAACAGGCTCTCCACTCTGGGCACCCTGAACAGCTGGCCCTTGAGGACAGCAGGGGGTCTGTTCTGTGCCAGACCCTAGTGCCCAGCGGGGAGGTGTACTTGGACAGATGGAGATAGACCATTGGGTGGAGGGTCTGGGCTGACATGGGAAAGGCTCAGAACAGTCAACATGAAGGACACACGTACTTGCTGTGCAGCACAAACAGCCTTCAGGAAGGCAAGAGAGAAACAGAGAGAAGGCCAAGGAGAGAGCATGTCATTTATCATGTCCCCTTCTGGTCCTCCATTGTTTCCAGCCTGGAGCCTGCCCCTGTCTCATAGACCCCCAGTGGCCTCCAGGCTGTCCTCAGTCCCTGGGAGCTTTCTCCCAGAGGGTGAATCTCATTGACACCACACCAGGATAAGGGAACTGGCTGGTGTTGAGTGAAACCTAGAACCACCCCCACCATCTCTGTGGAGGGCATACCCAGGGCATCAGTAGCTGCATTTCCCACGAGCTTCTGCCGGGCTCAGCACAACCATGTCCAGTTAGGTGTCCCAGGCCTGGTGATTGCCCATGCATTGGGCCCTGACCCCTCCCCACAGCACTGGCTTTGCCTGGGGGAACAAATCCCTATTCCTTCCATCCACCATGAACACATAACCAGCCTGCTCCCAAACTATGATCCTTGCCCCACACCTCCCTGTGGTCCTGGAAGCCTCCAGTGATGCACACCAAAAGTGAGGGGCAAGGCCCTGGAGGGTTGTGGGGGCAGCTGGCTGTCGTGGGCACCTTAGTCCTCCAGGAAACTACTCCCGCCCCCAGGCTTCCCACACCCACACTCACTCCACCTCCCGCTTCCGGATGGCACGGCCTGAGGCCAGAACCTCAGCGACCTTGGACACAATGGGATCGTAGTTCATGCTGGCCACGGCGATCACCTCGTCGCCTCTGCAGGGAGAGGATGGCCAAGCCTGAGGACTGCCAGGCAGCAGCCCCTTTTTGAAGATTCTGATGCACTGCTGTCATTCTGGGGCCCAGGGAAGGACCTACCCCAGGGGAACAGGAATGTCCTGAGCACGCAGCCCTCCCTGCTTTGCACATGGGGGCTTGACCGTGCACAAGCTTCAGGCTTTCCTAAGGAAGCTCCAGCACTCCTCAGCGGGGCTCAGGGCTGGGCTCTTGTTCTGGGATTTTGCCTGGGATGAATCCCCCTTCCCGATTGAGCTCCCGCTGCTTCGCCCCAAGCTGCACCCCGGTGCTCTCACTTAGTGTAAAAAGCCACAAACTTCAGCTCCTCCAGATCCCCCTGGATGATGACGTCGTCGAAGCCTTCTCCGTAGCCTGTGGGCCGGGCAGGTGGGTGGCACCCACGTGAGTCGGGGGAGGGAACGAGATTCACAGGATCCCCTCCTAACCCCGCCCAGGCCCTGCTCCATACGTCCTTTTAGGTAGTTCCTAGCCTCGCCGCCAGCGAGTTCTTACCGGCCTCTTCCTAGTGCAGTCACAGCCCTGCCCGTAGGCTCCCGGCCCCGCCCCGCCCCACACCCAAGCCCCGCCCCTAAACGCCCTTGGCCCCGCCCCCATCCGAGGCCCCGGGGTTACCCGCGTAGCGCAGGCTCTTGCCAAACATGGCGGTCCAGAGGTAGGGCACGGTGCTCATCTCCGCTTCCTGCGCCAACATGTTCTGGGCTGCCACGCGCCCTGCAGGACCCAGGGCCGTGAGAACCCTGACTCTCGCCCTTACCACTCCCACACTGCTTGCTCCTGATGCCGTTGGGACCCCTGACACGTGTGGCTACTCCTCCTGGTCTCCCCAGAGGTCAAGAGACATCATTATTCAGACCACTGGTCACTTGCATCTGCAGCTGACTGGTGCAGAGGAACACCTGACTCCAAGCTCGCCACTTGATTGCTTCCTGAGAGAACCTGAATACAGTGCCCTGCCTCTGGAAGGTCTGCTTCTTGGGATTGGGCTGTGCATACAGACACCTAATCAGACATATCAGGTCTGAAGAGGGAGGAAAATGGGCCACAAGTACGCAGGGAAGCACAGATGACAGCCACACACAGGGCTCTGAAGAGACCAGTGTGGATGGCTCCCCAGTTCCTATGAGGCCCCAGTAGACCCCTGTAGTTGGATGTACTTCAAAGTCCCCTAAACTCTCCCAGTTAAATCCTAATTATACTTGGCGGATCAGTAGCCTTGGTTACTTACAACCTAGCAACAACTTTAGACTTTGGACTTAAATAGAAATTGGTACCAGGAGTGGGGTCTCAAGCAGCAGACCCTCAGGTGTAAAGGCAGAGGGAAGGGGAAATGGGTGCAGAGAGGTCCCTTGTCCCAGGCTGGGGGTCTGGCAGTCCTCTCTCTGAGGCAGTGAGGCAACTAACGTGATGGCACCTGCAGCTTAGGGGCCCAGACCAGATGTGCACAGTGGATGAGGCTTGGGGGACTTGGTGGCCAGCAAACAGCAGGAGGGGAAAGCTATTCCTCAGAAAGCACGTGCCTCCACTGAGCCCAGGTCTCTGGGCTTAGATGGCACCTTGGGGACCTGCATGAGGCTGAACTGAGTTCACAGAGATACTTGAGTGGCCCAAGGAAAACAGAGGCACAAAGTAGGAAGGTGATCCACTAAATCCCTCCCTCCCTCCCCAGGGTAACTGCACAGGTTGGTCAGGAATTCTGCAGAATATAGGTCCTTAAGGACAAAAAAGGGAGAGACCACCAGAAGGAAAACTGAGATTGAGGAGCTGTGGCTGGCTCAATGAGGTGTTGCTCTCTGTGTTGGCTGGATCGCCGGGATGAGGCTGGCCAGAGAATCCACATCAGAGCTTTGATGCCTAACAGTGTCCGAGACCCAAGGTCAGCAACTGAGGCACAGGCATGGGGACACTGAGACCCTGGGACTCCCTCACACCCCTCCATGTGCCTCGGGACTGGCCATACCCTGAGCATGAGCCATCTGCCAATGTGGAATGTTCACTTTCCGGTTGTTCCTCCAGGCAAGGGGGAAGGTGACGGCGTCACCAGCTGCGAACACGCCTGGGACATTGGTCTGCATCATCTGTAGAGAGAGGGCCCAGGACTCCAAGGGTGCGACAGGGGCCCTGACCTGAACCTCCTGCCACTCCCAGCCCAGCACCGGGCCCTCCCCACCCAGTGCCATCCACCCCACCTTGTTGACAGGGATGAAGCCTCGGGAATCCAGACCGATGCCGCTCTGCCTCAGGAAGCCTGTGGCGGCCACTGCACCTGACAGGACAGAGGCCTGTGTTCACTCCCCTGTCCCTCCCTTCTGCATAGTCACTCTCCACACCCCACACCCTGCATTTGATGTGACATCCCCAGACTGATCCTCCAGGGGCTGCCACCTGAGGCCTTCATGCACCCTGGCCCCCACTAACCAGGCTCCCACAGATCCGGTGCCTCCTGCAAGACCTGAGGTATCACCTTCTCCAAGAAGTGCTCCATGAGGCTCTTAAGTGGAGGGACGGCATGCCACACCTCCTCAGCCCCTGCAGGCACTACCACCCCCCATCTTGGCCCCTACCCAAATTAGCACCTCAGCTGGAGCAAGAGCCAGTTCAGGGCTTGTCTATGTCAACTCTCGAAAGGCATGGAGATGAGTGTTACTGGGCAGCAGGCACTGGGAGCATCCTCTGTGCCAGGCCTGGGCTGAGCCCGGTACACACCTTCCTCAACAGCTCCGTAAAGTAGGGGCGGTTGGGGGTCCCCGTTTGACAGATGTGGTGGAAACTGAGGCTCTGGGAGGGGAAGGGACTAGCCCAAGGTCACATGTGAGCGTGTGCAGACGGCTGTGCTGGTTTGCGCCTGCCTGCCCACACACCAACTCACCAATGCCCACCACGCAGACGTCAGCCCGCACGACCTTGCTGCTCTTCAGCACAACCTCCTTCAGCTGTGGGGAGTGGGTGGGTGAACAGGTGGGCCCAGCTCCTGGGCTCAGGGGACAGAGGACAGAAAGCAGCAGGGAGAAGGGAGAAGGGCCCACCTTTCCCTCCTGGCCCCGCAGCTCCGACACCTCAGTCTGCATGTAGAACTTCACCCGGTTGTTCTCAAACATCTGTCAGGACAAGTGGGCAGGTGGGCAGTGGATGAGACTCCAGCCAGGGGCCAGGCTGGGCCCCATGGCTTCAAGGCGCTGGGTGCGTGCTGGAGTGGGCTCACCTTCATGAGGGCACGACCCACGCGCTCCCCCAGGAACCTCCTGAAGGGCGTCTCCTCCAGCTCCACCACAGACACAGAGTGGGCCTTCTCCGTCAGGTAAGCGGCCACCTCCATCCCTGGTCGTGGGCAGGGGTGGCAGGCTGGCACCTGCACCTTCCTCGACCAGAACTTCCCTGGGACTGGCCATGACAACCTGATCACCATCCCCACTGCCCACTACCTCTCACCCAGGAAGCCAGCTCCCACGATGACCACATTGCGGCCTCGGGCCAGCCTCACCACGCGATTGGCATCCTCTGGCGTCCGGATGGTGAACACGTTCTCCATTTCTTTGCCTTTGCAGCTCAGAGTCCTGGGGCTGAGACATGGCAATGTCAGTGAGGGCCTCCTGGCAGCCCCAGCCCCATCCAGGCCAGTGTCCTGCCCGGTGTCCCATGGGTAAAAAGGAGACCCTCCTACCTGCTCCCTGGCGCCAGCAGCAGCTTGCTGTACTCCAGCTTGAAGCCATCCTTGAACACAACCTTCTTGTTTCTCACATCCACTGTGACCACCTGCAACCCCCACCGGGCAGAGCATGAGCTTGAGCATGGGGCTGGGCCTCACCACCCACTTCCGGGTCCTGCAGTACACCCACAGCCCACCCACAGCCTCTGAGAAGCTCCCATTAGAACAGATCCTGCCATCTGGACTTTGTTCTTTAAGCTTCAGACATCACCTTCCCCTCAAACCTCTCCCTACACTCCCAAGTCCCACCAGTCTCTCCTATCCAGCCCTGATTGTTCATCTCCGCACACCCTGAGGCTCTGTGTGTGCCCATGACCTGTCGAGAAAAAGCTCCTTGCTGTCTCCCAAGCCTGGAGCACCTCCCAGGTGCCTGGGCAGTGGGGCCAGGAAGGTAGAGCACCAAGACCCCACCCCAGGGGCCCACACAACCTCATGTTCCCACCCTCTCTCCTCGGGGCCTATTTCCCACCCTTGACCCTGTACCTGAGCCTCAGTGAGCACCTCGATGCCATAGGCTCGGAAAAACTCCTTGGGCCTCAGGGCCAGCTGCTCAGGCTGTGTGTCCAGGGACTGCGGGGGCGAGCCAGCTTGAGAGGAGCCAGTTTACAGCAGAAGACACTGGGGCTCAGGGAAGGTAGGGCCATGCCCAGTGACATAGGGGCTGTAGGACAGAACTCAGCAAACCCAGATCTGGCCGGGCGCAGTGACTCATGCCTGTAATCCCAACACTTTGGGAGGCTGAGACCGGAGGATCGCTTGAACCCAGGAGTTCAAGACCAGCCTGGGCAACATGACAAAACCTCGTTTCTACAACAAATACAAAATATTAGCCAGGCGTGGTGGTGCACGCCTGTAGTCCTAGCTACTGGGAGGCTGAGGTGGGAGGGTCGTTTGAGCCTGGGAGGTGGAGGTCAACGCTGCAGTGAGCCATGAGACAGGCACTGCGCTCCAGCCTGAGTGACAGAGCAAGACCCTGTCTCAAAAAAAGAAAAGCCAGGTGCGGTGGCTCACACCTGTAATCCTAGCACCTTGGGAAGCTGAGGTGGGTGGATGGGCTGAGCTCAGGAGTTCAAGACTGGTCTGGGCAACATGGTGAAACCCCATCTCTACTAAAAATATAAAAAATTAGCCAGGTGTGGTGGTGGTACACACCTTTAATCCCAGCTACTCAGAAGGCTGAAGCACGAGAATCACTTGAACCCAGGAGATGGAAGTTGCAGTGAGCCGAGAATGCACCACTGCACTCCAGCCTGGGTGACAGAATGAGACCCTGTCTCAAAACAACAACAAGAAATCTAGACCTTTTGGGGGTACCACGGACAGGCCTGGCATAAGCAGAGAGGGCAGCCGGCCAGACCTCCATGGGGTGACAAGCAAGGCTTGAAGTGGGCTTAACTGGGACTCAGAGGGATAGGGTCCCACTTGCCCCACCCCCACTACCTTGCTGAGCTTGGGACGGTCATAGGGAAGGTGCCGGTCTAGCGTGCACAGAACGATCCGGTCGGAGAACCCCTCCTGCCGCAGTGTCTCTGCACACACCAGGCCAGCTGCACCTGAGGGGAGGGGCCTGTGGGCCGGGGACCACTTCTCACCAATCCCATCTCCCACCCTGCCCCTCATGACCCCACTACCAACCTGCGCCCACAATGAGCACATTGGTGCTACTGCTGTATCCAGCACTTGGGGAGATACACTTGGCCATCACCTTGGTCCTTCGCTGCAGCTGTAGGGCCTGTGGGTGCCAGGAGGGTGGAGGGTCATTGCCGTCATCCTGGCAGGCAGGTCCTGGCACTCCAGCCCAGCTTCATCCCTACCGCAACCCCTCACTCTGCTCAAGTGACACATGCCAGGCTCCTCTCTGGGACTGGCCTTTGCACATGCCATTCTCTGGGCCAAGATGCCCTCCCGGCTCCTCCCTTCTGCCTGAGCCCCGAGCTACCCCCTCACCTGCTTGCTGGCCCGGACGTACACCTTCTCCTTCTCAATCTTCACCTGCAAGGGCTGCATTCCTCAGGACCAGCCCCGAACCCCACACCCCCAGGTTCCCACCCCACCACACTCCTGGCCCCACCTGGAACTTGTGCAGACTATCCAGGCCAGGGAAGTCCTCCAGGTCCCCAGTGCTGATGTTGAAGCAGGCGCCGTGCCAGGGGCAGCGCACCCGACCACGGGACAGAACGCCTGGGAAGGGGAGGTGCTAGGCTGGGGCCACCAGCAGGGGTTGCTTCCCAAGGATCTCAGTGCCCTGGCAACTGCAGGCCCCTCCCCAAAGCCCAGGAGACTTCACTAATAGATGAAGATCCTGGGGTCTGGGGAGGAGCCAAGCTGGCATGGGGCCTGGAAGGTCCCCCTCACACCTCCCACCTGACAGCTCACCTTTCACCAGGGGTGCGCCGTAGTGCGGACACTTATGGCCCAGGGCGTGGAACTCCCCATTGTCCTTCACCAGCAACACCTTCCCCCAGCCCAGCTCCACTTCCCGCATCCTGGGGAACCGCAGCACTCAGAGGTCAGGCCAGACACCGGGCACAACCTCCTGGCAGCTCCTCCCAGTGTCCAGCCTTCTGGGGAGCAGGCCCAGACCGGTAGAAGCCACAAAGGCAGTGACCAGGGCAGCAGCTGGTCATAGCCCCTTCAGGCCAACCCCGACCCCCGGCTACGGCCTGTACCTCAGCCTCCCACCTTGGGACCCCTGATCCCCCCTCCCAGGCAGGTCCAGAACCCACTGGCCATTCTCGAGGTCCTTGACGTGGCAGACAGCAGCCTCCACGCAATCCTGAGGGCTGGGGTAGGGGTGAGGTGTGGGCAGGCGCTCCTCCGTGTGGAAGTGGCGGGCTGTGCCGTTGCCCTGGTAGGCCCGGGGGCTGCCCTTCCCACTGGCCGACAGCTCCTCCTTGCCTCGTTCCTTCTCAGGCAGCACCACCTCGATCTTGAGCTCCACTGTGGGCAAGTCAGCACCTTGAGCCCTCTACCTCAGCCCACTTCCTCCCCCATCCATCAAGCTGGGTGCAGAGGCCAGCTCCTCGGGGTGCCAGGAGGCTCCGCCCTGTGCTGGTAACCTCCTCAGAATGCCCTCTGCACCACCAGCAAAGAGCCTTAAACCTGGCACGAAGCAGAGGAGGGGCATGTATGGGTAGGGGTACACCCAGGTCTGCTTGAATTCATTTCTGCATGTCTCTTTTTTCTTTTTTCTTTCTTCCTTTTTTTTTTTTTTTTTTTTTTGAGACAGGGTCTCACGTTGTCGCCCAGGCTGTAGTGCAGTCATGCAAACTCAGTTCACTGCAGCCTCTGCCTCCTGGGTTCAAGCAATACTCCCATCTCAGCCTCCCCAGTAGCTGGGACTATATATGCACACCACCACGCCAGGCTGATTTTTGTATTTTTTGGTAGAGACAGGGTTTTGCCATGTTGGCCAGGCTGGTCTCAAACTCCTGACCTCAAGTGATCTGCCCACCTCAGCCTCCCAAAGTGCTGGGATTACAGGCATGAGCCACTGTGCCCCACCTCCTTTTTCAATAACAGTATTAGTGAGGGGGGCACAGAGCTGAGTTTCTTCGATCCTGCAACTCTCCTGGCTGCAGAAACCTCTGTGGCAGAAAGAACCCTGAGGCCCTCAAGTCCTGCATCTTCCGATGGACAATGACGATGTCCCTGACAGCTCAGGGACACATTTAGGGTATGATTCAAGCACACACAGGAATTCAAAAGTGGTAGCAGCTCAGTTCCCAGCCAGTGAATCTGGGTGACAGGAAGTCAAGGGTTCATTGTTCTAGTCTTACAATTTTCCTGTATATTTGAATTGTTTTCAAAAATTAAAAAAAATCGGGAGGCTGAGGCAGGAGAACGGCGTAAACCCGCGAGGCGGAGCTTGCGGTGAGCTGAGATCCAGCCACTGCACTCCAGCCTGGGCGACAGAGCGAGACTCCGTCTCAAAAAAAATAAAATAAAAATAAAAATAAATGTACACAGCATAATTCACAGCATAATTTTTTTTTTTTTTTTTTTTTGAGATGGAGTTTCCCTCTTGTTGCCCAGGCTGGAGTGCAATGGCGCGATCTCAGCTCACCGCAACCTCCGCCTCCCGGGTTCAAGCGAGTGGCTGGGATTACAGGCATGCACCACCACGCCCGACTAATTTTTGTATTTTTACTAGAGACGGGGCTCCATGTTGGTCAGGCTGGTCTTGAACTCCTGACCTTAGGTGATCCACCGGCCTCAGCCTCCCAAAATGCTGGGATTACAGGCGTGGGCCACCACACCCAGCCCAATTTCAACTTAAAATAGCTTTCCTCCCCAATTTGAGAATCCTTCACTGACCAGGTGCTAGGTTTTCAGTGTCCTCATGTGCCCTGGGGGTGAACCCGAGCATGGGAAGGCATGTGGACAGCACAGCCCCCCGACGGCCTCAGTACAGAGGCCACTTCCCCAGCATGCCCACGGGGCCAGCTCTAGCGGGGAGTGAGCCAGAGATTGCCATTTTCTTCTTTATACTCTTCCACATTTTCCAAATTCCCTGTGATGTGCCGGGGATATTTTTCTAATTAGAAGGGAACAATAAACAGAATTTTTAGCAGCAACAATCCAGCCTCCCAGGCTGCTGCAGCAGGGAGGAAGCTGAGCGATGGACACTCAGCCCCTGGCACAGCACGGGCCCAATGCTGGAGCAGAGGTACCTACCTCTCTCACTTCCCAAGGCACCAGCGCCTCTGGGTTTTACCTCTCATCCCCTCCACCTCAGACCTGACACTCCAGAAACCAAGAACCCAGAGAGGCTGCCGAGATGCACCTCCAGGCCTTCGTCTGAGCTGTCCCCTGGGCTAGGGGCTGCCATCTGCCATCCTTCCTATCTACCCAGACAAGGTTCAGGAGTTGCCTCTCCTGGCTGCCCAGCCCCTGCATATCCGTCATCGCATGCTCTGCTAAATCCTCCACCCTAGCCAGGCCCCCTCCCCAGTCCCAAGTCCCAGCCCTACAGCTCAGGCCCAGGCATAGCAGGGGACAGGGGCAAAGGTCAGTTCCTTGACCCCAGCCCAGCAGGGAGGGTGCAGAGCACAGAGCCACACTGAGGCCGTCCTATCAGGTGGGGGGTTATGGGTGGGGCTTTCATTCCATTTTCTATACTTTATGTAATGGTGTTATAATGTTTTTGGAAGACTTAAAAAGAGAAATACTTTGGACTTAGCTGACACCAGCTCTGGAAGCTGTGGGAGCTCACAAATAGCCTGGCAGGGGGGCCAGATAATGCCAAGCCAGGCTGCTCTCATCCTCCACCTCCTCCCAGAAGGCTCCAAGCCCGCTCACTGATGCGGTCTAACGAAAGCCATTAAGTCAGGGGCCCTTTGGAAAGGTGGAGGGGAGGGGCGTCTCTGCTCACCCACAAAACCAGATCAGCCCCAGATCCATGACTTCTGGCTGCCCATAAGACCCGCCTTAGCCCCTTTGGGCCTTAAGATGCCTTTATTACAAAATGGAGAGAAGGCCAGGTGCGGTGGCTCATGCCTGTAATCCCAACACTTTGGGAGGCCAAGGCAGGAGGATCGCTTGAGTCCAGAGGTTCAAGACCAGCCTGGGCAACAGGGTGAGACACGGTCTCTACAAAAAATTTAAAAATTCGCCTGTTGGCCAGGAATGATGGCTCACGCCTGTAATTCCAGCACTTTGAGACGCCGAGGCGGGTGGATCACTTGAGGTCAGGAGTTCGAGACCAGCCTGGCCAACATGGCAAAACCCAGTCTCTACTAAAAAATATAAAAATTAGCCAGGCATGGTGGCATGCACTTATAATCCCAGCTACTTGAGAGCCTGAGGCAAGAGAATCGCTTGAACCTGGGAGGTGGAGGTTGCAATGAGCCGAGATCGTGCCATTGCACTACAGCTTGGGCAAGGGAATGAGATTCTCTCTCTCAAAAAAAAATAAATAAATAAATAAATAAATAAAAATAAAATTGCCAGTCGTGGTGGTGCAGGCCTGTAGCCCCGGCTACTCAGGAGGCTAAGGTGGGAAGATCACTTGAGCCCAGGAGTTCTAGGCTGCCGCAAGCTATGATTATGCGACTTTACTCCAACCTGGGCAACAGAATGAGACCTCATCTCAAAAAATGAAAATAAAACAGAGAGAACAGCAAATGCCTACCTCATTGGTGATAGTGGATGCTGAAGGAAATAATGTATGTAACCCAGAGTAGAAGCTCAATAGATGGAGTTGGGCCGCAGTGTTTTACCAGTTAGCTCTGAGCCTCCTAGCAGCCATGGTGAGGATGGAAAGCCTTTAGGTAGCAGTTGTGGCCTAATAAAAGGCAGGTGAACAGATGCTAAGAGAGCTGCACTTCCTCCTAGCTCTGAGCTAGGTGAGGGACTGGACTGATATCTTGTTATCAAGAACTCAGACGGGACACGCAGGAGCATAGAGGGAACCCAGGAAACAGGTGCTGATGCACATGGAGCCACAGAATCGAGTGGGGCAAGATAGTGAGTGATTTGCACAGAGGTCTTCTGCTTGCTCTAGTCTCTTTGCGGCCCCTTAAGACCCCAGCAGAACCCTCATGCCCCAAACGCTGTAACTCCCATATCTGGAAATTCCCTGAGCCTCATGCCTGACCTACGCAGCATGGGCACCTGGGGCCTGAGCCTCTGGCTACGGGCCCACAGGGGAGGCCTGGCAGCACAGAGCCCAGCTCAGAGAAGGGATAACAAATAATATCCCACAAGTGTTTCTTATGTGCCAGGCCCCCATGCTAGGCACAACAGCCCCACTTTACAATGAGGATGCAGAGGCTCAGATGCCGAAGGCCTCACAGCCGGGAAAGGGCAGGGCTGGATTTGCCTAAATTCTTAGCACTGCCTTTGGTGAGAGTGGCCACCCCCGACACTGGGCCACGGATCCCAGGCAGGCCAGCCCTTTGGGGTCCTTTAAAAGAACCTGCAGGTGGCATCTTCTGCCAGGGCCTCCTGCCAGCCCAGCAGTGCCACAGACGCCTGGTATGAGGCCAGCTGGCATCAGCCCACCCACTTCTAGGGGGAGACAATGGACATCATCTGCCCAAGGCACATTTTGAGGCAGGGAGGGATCCAGCCCAGGCCTGGGTGTCCACAGCACAGGAGTTGGGGGAGGAAGAGTGGCTTCCTGGAGCAGAGGCAGGTGGGTCCCTCTGTCTGGTGAGTCACTACAGTTCTCCTCCCTCCCCTAAGTTCTCCCTTAGACTCAGGAAAGGGAGAAAAGGCTCACAAGTTCCAAGGTAACAGAGCCGATGGGTATCAGGTAAGGGGAGCTGGGGTGAGCTGACTGGGGCAGGGTGGCCTGGCGGGGTGAGTGGAGCACTGGCTGGGCTCTTGAGGTCTCTCTAAGCCTCATTTTCTCCATCTGTGACAAAGCTGCACACTCCTGCCTCCCTGGGTGTTGTGAGGAGAGAAGAAGGAAAGTGGGGGGCCAGAGGGAGAGCTCTGCAGACATAAGTCTTTAGTGGAGAAAAGACCCAGGCCTCTCCCAGCACCCCAGGACACTATCACTTCTGGCCAGAGTAGCTCAGGCTAGGTTGGGTGGTGACTTCCTATATAAATGGGGAAGTGTGCCCAGAAAGGCCAAGAAGGCAGCCCGAGACCACACAGGGGATCAGAGGAGGCGAAGAGAGCCAGGATCTGCTCACTACACCCTCACAGCAACTCTAAGAGGTCAGGGTGGCCAGGCCCTCTCTTTTGCAGAGAGAAAAACAGAGGCTCAGAGGGGTAACTTGCATGCCCTAGGTCATAGAGTGGCTGAGGTTGTCTCCAGTCCCCCCACTTCCCTGGCCCTGGGGGCATAGCCCCTTCCCCAACCCTGCAACAGGAGGAACCTGCCTTTCCTTTTCCAAGAAGGGTCCTGCTGTTATTCCCACCACCAACACTCAAAGCCCCAAAGAAAAAGGGGCACCCACTGGAGGAGGGGCCAGCCGGGGAACTGCTCCAGGCCCCCTACCCCCTCCTGGCCACAGCGTATTAACATTCCAAGCAGGCTCCTGCCTAGCCTGACCTACTTCGGAGGCTTGCCGAGTGCAGAGGGGGAGGGCGGGGGGGAAGAGGGGGAAGGAAGAGGTGGGGAGGGAGGAGGAAGGATGGAGGCAAGAAGACAGGAGGTACCTGGTTTGGGCTTGGAGAAACAGCCACCCATGGCGAGTGGCCTGAAGATGGCCGGCAGGCAGGAGCACAGATGGGGAGCTGTCGGAGGCCTAGGGCGCCCCCCATGGGGCTGGACCCCTTGAAGGCCTTAGAGATGCTGGAGATGCCATCCTGCTGGTGCTGCTCTAGGACCTGCAGGGAGACTGGGGCCGTCATGACCGAGGCGTGTGGGCAGAGGTAGAGACACAGAGAGAGAGAGAGAGAGACAGTGGGAGCTTCAGAGAGTCTTACATTTGAGTTGGGAACCATGGTGTGTAGGTGAGCCTGATCCCAGAGCATGGGGCCCTGGAGGACACCTCCCCTTTGAAGCCCTCCAAGCTCAGCTCTCTCACTCCTCCAGTGGAGTTCCTCGCCCCAACCTCGGCCACCCTTGGTCCAGCCCCGCAGCTGCCTTGCCCAAGAAATCCTCCCTGATTTCTGCTGCCTCCTCATGGCCCCCTTCCCCTCTCCAAATCCCACAGCCTGAGAGTTCTTGGACCCTCCATTGTACCGGGAGACCACCATGCCTAAGCGTAAAGAGTGGGTCACCTTGGGCAAGCCAAAGCCCTCCTCATCCTTGGTCTTCTCCCTCCTACAATGCGGGTGTCATCAGGCTCCCCCTAGCCCAGCCCCACCCTGGATAGTACTCTGGACACCCACCTCCTCTCAGGGCAGCCACTGCTCCGTGTTCCAGGCCCAGCAGTGGACTGAGGCTGCCGGGCCTTGGAAGGCAGGGCAGGGAGGGCAGGGGTCCAGGAGGCGGCCCAGCCTCCACCCTCCTCCCAGCTCAAGCTGTGGCCAGGAGGGGCTGGGGGGTGGTGTGGGGCTGGGCCAGTCCCTTGGTCCCCAGGGAAACCCAGCTCTGTGGTGAACAGAAGTGGGCGGCCAGCCCGGCCCTGATGGGGTTAGGGGAAAGAGAAGCCGGGCACACAGCCCTGCCATGCCTGTGCCCAGCAGCCATAACCTCCCCCTACCCCCGAATCCAGCCCTTCACAAATGCCCACTAGGCCTGTGGTGCTGGGGTCTTGCCCAACAGCAGATGGGGCAAGCAAGGGGCCAAGGTCCCATCAAGGTCAAGCAGCAGGGGTATCCCTGTGGCCTCCTACCCCACCCTCCCACCTTCATCAGTTTTAAGATGGGCAGGGGCCCAGAAAGCCCCCATATCAACCTAAGGCCCTGCAAGGTGCCCTGGGGGAGGGACACCTGCACCGCAGAGAGATCACTGTAGCCCAGGTGCCTTCCAGGCTGCAGGGTGGGCCTTCCGGAAGATGCAGCCTACAGGTAGGACTTTGGAAGGCCCAGGGCATAGGCATAGCTGCCTTGTTTACAAATGACCTCCCCACAGTCCATCCCACTGTCATCCTCCGGTTTCCTCTGGAACGTCTTCCTGAAGTCTCACTTGAGGTGGGGCTGAGGCCCACCTGGTCTGGCCCAGATCCCAGAAGGGCTGTGGATGGGTGCCTGAGAGCGAGGGGTGCAAACAAAAGCCCAGGTTGGAGAGAGACCATTGGTGCCTGGCCCCTGCGCCTGTCTGCCCTCAAGGTGCCCATTACAGGGGAGGAGCCGGTGACTCCCATAGCCACTGGGGTGTGCCTTGGCTCTTTCCCCCACTTGTCACCAAGGAAGGTCTGTAAAACTCAACAGCCACCTGCCCCACCTGCCCCCTCCCTGGACACTAGGCAGCCCCTCCCCGGGTCCTGGCTTCAGCCCTGGCTCAGCCCTGCTCACTTCCTTCCTGGCTGACCTCAGGCCTCACTTGCTAGGCCACAGATCCCAGAAAAGGTCAGACCTGGTCTTGCCACTGGGGACCTGCCCAGGCTGTGCTGTCCCTTCCGGAGTACCCAGGGCCCTGAATCCCCCAGGCCCTGGGCCAGGAAGAAGACTGGGTGGGGCCCCTGTGCCTTCGGCCTACTGTGTGCTAGATCGGCTTGGAGCCCAGTCACCCCACTCAAAGGCAAAGGTCCTTGCTAAGGGCAGGGCAGTAGGGGCCCCCCAGGTTTGTGCAGAATGCCAGAGTGCTGTTCCTTGCCCATGAGCTGCCCACTGCAGAAAAGTTCTAGCAGAGTCCAGTGCTAACTGGACTCTGCAGGAGTCTGTCTGTCCCAGGGACCCCAGGACCTGTGAAGCGGGACTGGATTACCCCCATCTCACTGAGCAGCCACTGCTCCACCTGACCCTCCCAGGGCTCCTGGCGCCCGCCCCGTGTGCAGGCTGGGTAGGGTCCTCTCCCCACTCCTCCACCTCTTGCCCACCCGCCCCCACTGCCTCATCCCAAGGGCTCCTGCCCAGATCGGGCTCCCAGTGGCTTCCAGGCGTCCTAGGGGTGGCATCTGATTCCAGTCCTGCCTTGGAGTGTGGGGGCTCAGCGCTCTCCCCTCCCCCACGAAGCTCAGGTGCAAGCCTCTGTCCACTCTCCTCGCCTCTGCACGTGCAGTTCCCTCTCTCTGGGAAGCCGGTGGCCGGTGCCAGCAGCCTCGCCAGCTCCGTCCCGGTGCCCCGCCAGACCTTGCAGCCCAGGAAGGGGGACTGGCACACAGTGGGAAGCCGCGGCGAGCAGGGAAGGGGCGGTTGTGGGACGAGAGAAGGACGAGGTGTGCTCCGGCCCCCGGGCAGTGCCTGTGGCCACGCTTGCCGACCCCCAACCCCTAACGTGCCAGGCCCGGGTCCGAGACCTGCGAGCACAAGGGCTGGCCCCCGGCGCCGGGGCGAAGAGGCGGGGCGGCGGGCGGGGACCGGGGTTCCGGGGACCGGGGTCCCCGGGGCGGGCGCTCACCTGGGCTCGGCGCGGGCCTGGACTCGGGAACCGCTTGGGGCCGCGGGCGCGGGGGGGCGGGGAGGCGCGGGCGGGGCGGGGCTGGCGCTGCGGCTGCACTGCGGCCGGGGAGCCCGCGGCGCCCAGCACCGCCCCGCCGGGCCGGAGCAGGTGGTGGGCGGCGGGGGGACATGGGGCAGGCCGAGGCCCTCGGCGTCCGGACCGGAGTCGCAGAGCGTGGGGAGGCAGCCGGGGGCCGCTCTGGCAGGGGGTGCCCCGGACCCGGGTCTGGGTCTCTGGGGATCCTCGCGACCTCCCAGGGATGCCCAGCTGGGGCGCGGGCAGGGTCTGCTTCTTTTTTACTTTTCTTTCTTTCCAAAGTCTCAGAACCACTGTGGGCGGGGTGGGGGAACTTAAATCACTCTGAGAAACCTCCACAAGAAAGAAAACCCCAGTCAAACCTTACTGCCCACAGCTCCCTTCACTGGGTGGGGGAGTTCAGGTTCACCTGTGTCCTAGGTTCCTCCCGGCCCTCTCTCCACATGTACCAGGGTCTATTTTCAATTATATTTTATTACATTTTTCTTTTTCTCACCTGTCATTTACCAGAACTCCTTAGGTCTCCAGAAATCACAGTGCACCCTGGTGTTGTGCCTCCTCCTCCAGGAAGCCCTCCCTGACCAGCCTCCCCTCTATTAGGGCTGATTATTCTGGTTCCTAACAGGTGTTTCATTGTCTTTAATGTGTGGATCTCTGCATTTGTAGGTAGACTTTGTCCTTCCAGCAGGCTAGAGCACAGAGGCTGTGTGGGTTCCTCCCCTGTCTGGGACTTACTCTCCTCTCCTGTAAGGAGGACGATAATGACAGCAGTAATAGTCCCCTGTGCCATGCCCAGCCGGTCTTCCCAGGCCATCCTCTGGGACTATTTGTGCCCCACCCCACTAGGGGACAAGTTCGAGCCCCCCAACCCCACCACCCTCATACAATTTTACAGATAGGAAGCGCAGCCCAGGAAGTCTTGGTCTTGCTCAGGGTCAGGAACAGGCCCTGCATGGGTCACACTGGGAGCAGGTGGTGGGGTGCCCAGGCCCGAAGGGCACATGTGGCTCAGTTCAGGCAAGTCCTCTCAGCTCATGTGTCGCTTCCACAGTGGGACCGTTGCCACTGCCACAGGAGAGTCCCATCACGGGGCGGATGGCAGTGCTTGGGCCTGGTGCCCTCCATCTCCAACCAGCCTGCCCCCATTTCATGCATGTGGTGATCTGGCTGCCCCACCCCCCACCCACCCTCAGAATCTCCTGCAGCCAGGAAGACAACGTGCCTCATAATAACTACGGCTGTGATTTTGCATGCATTTATTTCCTTACCCATCACAACAGCCTGAGAAGGAAGGTTCTCTTTGTATTATCTCCATTTCACAAGTGGAGAAACTGAGGTTCAGTGAGGTTAGGGACTCTCCAGGGCCACACAGCTGCTAAGTGGCAGAGCAGCCCTGGGCAGGCTGGCCTCCCAGGTGGAGGGTTGGAAGCAGGAGGGGAGAGGCCTACCAGGCTCATGCAAGGCCGCAGGGCCTCCAGTGCACAATTCAAGTCTTATTCTGTGACCATGGCAATCAGTGAGTGGACCCCTCTGCTCCAGCCTCCCCAGGATACCGGGGGTAACTGAAATACTCTCCCAGACTGCTGCCAGGACACCATGACAGGTGCAGAACCAGTCACAGGGGGTGCTCGGGAAGTGGGGTCGGGGCTGCTGAGTTTGGGGTGCCAGAGATAAAGCTGGGGAAACAGGTCAGTGTAGGGGTTGAGGAAGCCAGCAACCTGGGGAGGCACAAGGCAAGTGCAGGCCTGACCTGGGGCAAGTCCATTGTGACTCTCTTGGCCCCAGGCACTGTGCTTGAGGTTCC